AACTACAATAACCAGTAGATACTCTTTGTATTACTGCTTGCTTAAAATTGCATATAATATATAAATTAATTAATACCCAAATTGAGATAAAATTGTACAAAAAAAAAAAAAAAAAAGAGAGAGAGAGAGAGAGAGAGAGAGAGAGAAGGAAGGGACCCTTCAAAATTCATTAAAAAATAATTTACTAATAATTGTAGATATCAATATAAGCTAGTGATGTTAATATGGAAACATGCGTTAAGAAATTAAAGTGCTGGGGAATGAAGGGGAGTCAGATATTAACTCTCATCTAGCACATGGCACCGAGATTGGGAGGACAGGGAAAAATTAGGAAAAAGATACTGATTCACAGAGGAAGGAAGAGTGGACAAAACTTCCTTTTGGACAAAAGGACTTTGCAGCCAAATAACCTTAGATACCCTGATACTGTTTCTAACATTATCTCTATTATCATTAGTGGCACTTTTACTTTTTTTCATTTGTGCACTGGAAAGTTTTTTTTTTTTTTTTTTTTTTTTTTTTTTTTTTTTTTATACTTTTTTTTTTAACTGTCTTTGTTTCTACCTTTCAAATATACATACATATATAATTTCAAATTTCATACTATTTATTCATTATTATTAAATTTAGCAGAAATTTTTCTTAAGTTATTCTTATGAAACTGTAATTTCAACAGCAGCCACAAATAAGATGAGATCCGTTGTTTTATTTTATTATTTAACTATTCCTCATTAATTTATTAAATTTTTATATATGTCTTTACATTCTATTGATTTTTAATTTTAATTATTTAACATTTCAATTATGAATTATTTTAATAAATATTTTACATATTTATTTACTCCTCTTTCCAATACTTCCTTTTTACTTCGTACAAGGAAGTTAAAAATCGTGAGTGATACTACTGCCACAGATTTTAATAAAACAGTTTTATTATTTTATGGACTTTCAAAAATGTCACTTTCATTGTAAGAAAGTTAAAGCATATATAGGTGAATGGACTTATTTTTACTACTATTTGAGCATACATGCTAATTATAAATGAGCGAATGGCAGATTACTGCTTCTTTGAACAGAAGACAGAAGACCATCAATAGAGCAACCGCACCATCATTACTTTACAATTGGTTAATGTAACAAAACAAAAGTAATTAGAAATGCTGAATACATAATACAACTTAGATAATTTAAAAAGTAAAAATAAGAATAAGATATAGATATAAAGTTGTAGTGTAATTCCACTGTGTAATTCTAAGTTACAGTTGAAAGTGAAGAAAGAATAAGAACTAGTAAGCGAATGATTGCTTGAGTTCGTGTACAGGAAACAACAAGTAAGACGGGTGAAATAACCCTTTGTTATTCCAACTGAAGTTTAACAAAACTCCATCTTAGAGTTGCACAATAAAGCAGACACTCGAGCTTGAACTTAAAGCCTTCTGTAAGGCTCAGGAACTTCTAATTTCAGAAATTAAGCCTTGCTTACAAACATTGTGATGCCACCTATTGCATGGTGTGCCGGCAAGCCTCCACATTTATTCAACATCTAGTCTGTTCACTGCGACCGCTCAATGACAGAGCGAGATTGACCACGACAACCGGTTTTCGGTCTCTTGTGCTGCTAAACTCCGAAGGTGTAGGGCGGGCTTCTGTCCATCCTCAGCGCGGATGATGCGTGTCTGCAACTTCTTCTTTTTCGTGCCTTTCTGACGACCATCTCCATATAGTTTCAAGAGAATGCATTTTATCAAAAAATAATGGTATGTGATATAAAAATTCAACTAAAATCGACCTAGATGCTGAATTCTGCGGTGAAAAAATGATGTTTTATGACTTCAGATGTTCTTGAAAGGAAATTCCATGCACGTGTTGAGGCTTGATGCTAATATTGGCCTTGTATTTCCACAAAAATATATTGGAATAAGAAGTCAAACCAACGTCCTTCGCTATAAAAATTCAAATTTGTTATCATGTAACCTTGTGCAACGAAGATGATCTGAGATTTAGCAGATTGGAACTTTACGCATTTTGTGCACAAAAAATTAGGACTCGAAATAGTAGGACTGATTCTTACTGCTGCAGTAGTACGTCATATATTGTCTTCTGTCTGGCTATGTTTTCTTGATTTATATTAGTATTAATTTAAAATTTCACGATGTCAAAATATAATAAATTTCTCGTAATTCACATTATTTGAAGTGTCATCCTTTGGGGGCAAGTTACTTTCTCTTTTTTTTTTCAGATCACACATTTCATCCTGCACGTTATCCAGTAATTCTGGCTTTTTGCACTATTTAATATTTCACATGGTAAGAATTACAATAACAATAAGACTTCCCAATTATGATAACAATTTCCCATTGCCTTTTTTCATAATTATTTTGTACTAACTTTTTGTAATCAAGGAAAGATTTTAGGCTTATTTGGTGCCAATTATAAAAGCAATGAGTAGAATATGTTAGGTTACTTTAGAACTAAATGAAGAAACTACTGCTAATGGTTTCCAAATGTCATAAAAAATCACCAAATCCATCCATATTTTACATCTGAGAGCTAGTATGTATTTCAGCAGCATATTTTCAATTTACGATAGTCCAAGTTAAATAATAACCGACAGATAAATATATAATTCATTAAAAAAAATTAAGGACTGAACTCTACTAAAGATGCCCGATTATTCACACATTACCTGTATTTCTTTAAAATATCATCTATTTAGTGAAAGAACTTCAAATAAAATTTGGAATTCAGTGTTTATTTTAGTAGATATCTACTGTTATGGATTTAAAGTGTGATGAAATAATAAGAAGGACTGGGTTGGATTCTATAGATTCCAGTCGTATAAATGCATGCGACCTCTGAATACATTTTAATATGTATTTGTTGCAAAAAAGGATGCCTGTAGTTTCTAGAGACATAAAAATATGTACAGAGTTTATGGATGTGATGGCTATTCAAAGGGAGGAATAGAATGAATAAGTTGGAGCTCTGTATTGTATTGTATGCCAGTACATTGGGCCCATGACTAGGGTAAAGTGGAAGAATTTCCCACATTAATACAGTCAGTAAATTTAGTTTGCCATCCAATAGCTGGAAGCGCTATAGTATTCTGGTTTAGATTATGGTGATAGTGCATCATCAGTGCAGCAATAAAGGATCTTTTCTAGTCGAACATAGCCACTTGGTGAGGAATGATTATTAAACACTGTAGACCAGTTTGCAGGACAGCTGCAGAACTTCTCAGGTCTTACTTATTTCACTCTATGCTCTGGAAATCAACTGCAGTGTATGATGATGCTGGGTCATCCAGCTTAATATTGTGTGCTTCTACCAAATGTTTTCAATAATGTGCTTGTTCAATTTTAATTGTTATTAAATTGTCAAGTTTTAATTGTTAATCTTATGGCTGGCTTCAGTTAATGGATTTGACTAATTTATTTATTAGCTCATGTTAAATCAGTGTGCCAGAAAACTGAATGCATAAATGTCAGTCTAAAATGTAATATTTAGATGTCAGTACATTTGAATTACAAAGTATAACCATAAGAAATTTATTGTAGGTATCAATCTTTAGATTTCAGAGAGAAAATAAACATAAATTTGAATTTTTTTTCTTTTGCATTGTTTATGTATGTTTTGATAAATATTTAAAGTAAAAGTGAAAATTTAGCTCATTTTATTCTTTTGTTAAAAACATTTCTAATAATAATAAAGTCCAGGCCCATCAGCTGGATTAAGATTGTGCATTTGGTTCACACAGAATTTGAATAAGAGACCACAGTTATACATTATGGCAAAGTACAAGGTAGCTAGCTGCCTAAGAGAAAGGATGCTTTTCCAAAGATCTTCTTTTAAAGGAAACTGGCTGTCATAAACATCACACATTCAGAAAACCACAAAAACTCCCATGCAGCAAGTTGTTCACCAGGACTTGTACCCAGGTTGAATTACCAGTGTTCGGTGATTTTTACTGGTGACAAGCCAACTGACGAGAAGAAATAAAAGTTTTTGTTATGCAAACAGTCACAAAGGAAATTGTTACTATTCCTATTATTACCATTACTTTCAAGATCTCACACCTGCAAACTAAATCCTGTTTCTTACAATACAAATCTCATCTTAAACAATGCCAGATAGACAGCATTCTGAAATTCCCCTAAATATAAGGTACTTATGTATTATCCCACTGACAGTGAAACTGTTGCCAAGCAGAGTGATTTAACATCAATTATGCATAATGTTGACATAACAACACACTCACAGCATCTGCACTTTTGTTTGATGTAACCCCAATTGATTCTCAATATGCCACTTTTTGTTTTTGTGAACAAGGACATATATTAACTGATATTTTTGCTATTTTCTCTTGCATCTTGAGAAAAAAAAGAGAGAGAGAGAGAGAGAAGAGTTCGAAGAATGCAGAATCACATTTGAGATTGCACTGTGGTTCATTTAAGCCTTGTCAACAGCTGGATATGTCAGACAAACAATAATAAATTATAACAACCATCTGCAGGAAGATTTACTTATAGTCTCATAGCATTCTTTAAACAGCTCTCAACAAAATTAAAGGGCTTAACAAAAAGTAAATTCCAATTTTTGAAGTGCAAAATTGAAGTAGGTCAAATGCTGATACTTTATTAAATGAAAAAGCAGCAGTTCCTTCAGAATTCTAGAAGAACGATTGGTACAACTTTTTTCTTGGTTTGATGATAGCCAGTTTTCATGGTTGACAGGATAATATGCAAGTACCAATATACAAAGTTTTGGACACTTTTCTAAAAGTTCAGCAACTGACTTTTAAAAAGGTATCCAGAAGCTTTGCAAACATATCAAGACACATACAGCATCAGAAGCACAGCACAAAAGGCTGAAAAAAAAAATTATCCTAAAATTTTACATAGAACATGTACATAAGATAAAATATACAACAAAGCTGAAAATTTTCTTTCCTTGGACTTTGTTACAGAAATCCTAAAACGATGAAATAAAAAGACAATAAATTTCTAAAATAGAAAAATATATTTTAATATTTAACATCATATTTTTTTCCATTTAACTAGGCAAATTATTAAAAAAAGACTTCTATCAAAAGTATAAAATATTAAAGTACATAGTCAAAGGCATAAGCTCTCAAATCAAGAACATTGGAAATATTCAGTGATGAAAAAGGCGCAGATTGCTGTGAATCAAAACCATTCCATACTCATCGCAGGCAGATATCACAGAAGTATCATTTGTAGAGCCACCGGGACTCACCACATAGGAAACACCACTCTGAAACACAGAAGATCAATTAGCATATTTCAACAAATACCATACATATTTCCATGCATAAGCCAAAAAATTTGCTAAAATTTTTTTCAGCAATTTTTTATTCTACTGAATTTTTAAGTGTTCAGAATTATTTGCAAATAATTTGATCTCAAAAATGATATTATTGAGCAAAACAGTTGAAAAAAAACATTTTTTTTTATTTTATTTAATAGTAATTTAACTTGGGAGAATGCATGCTCCATTTTCATACATGAGGACATGCATAGGGTACATTTGATCCCACCATCAATATATTATATTCTCAAATTATTAACGGCTTAAATATGTTTTGTACAGTAAAATCTATTTTTTTACATTTCTGTTACATTATTTAAGCAATCTATTTATTCCATATTTTCAAATAATTATCCACAAATATCAACACAAACATGAAATTCCTCAAATTATATTTATCACAATTAACATAAAAATTATATTTATCATAATTAATATAAACAATTAAATAGTAAAATGCAAAAAAAAATTTAAATAAATGATAACTTTATTATTTTTCTGCATCAAAATATAAATGTTACTAGAATTTTTTATAATTATTATTAGATTAGCTATTTTCCTTTTTTTTTTTTTCCTAATACATAAATGATTTAATGATTTATTACTCCTCGTATATCGTCTAAAGTAATCTTAAAATATTTTCATCAGAATTAATATAAAATTCTGAAAATTTAATAATACACAAAATTATTTTGACTAATTAGGAAAAAATTAATTCAATTAATGTATTATAAAATTAATTTATATAATATGTTATCATATATATATATATATATATATATATATATATATATATATTAACATTTTTAATGCATCAAAAGGTGTGATCTTGCTCATTAGTTTCCTTTTTTATTCAAAAATGACTTCATTTAATTTTTAGAAAGCGCACAGTGAGGATAAGTATATCCAATAAAAAAATTTACATGCCACTTCAAGAAATCACACGAGGATGCGCATGGGGTAAATATAACCCCTATTTATCATTTAACATAATTATTTAGCAAATAAAGAAACTAGGAATTTGAAACTTGATCTAAATTAAAGATGACAACTACTGAAGAAATGAAGTGACAGTAACTCATGGTTTAAGAGAAGCATTCCATTTTATGGAGGTGGAGTCAAATAGACCCTATGCGTGTGCTTACCGGTTAATTTCTCAACATTAAAATCCATTTGTGATTCTAGCAATTTTCAGAAATCTCTTTCTACTACACAAGACACTACGTGAATGGCATTATTCCTTTATTTTACCATTAACATCATCATCTGCTCTGTAGATTATATCATCTTCAATTCCATCCACAGCATCCCCACTGTGACATTTTATGAATGACTGGTCGATTGTTTCTAACCCATTTTTCAAACAGACTCACCTTCAGCTTGTCTAGCAGGTCTAGTTATGTTAGATTGCACTGTCAACACATAGTTCAGTTTCGAGAGTTAAATTAATCTTGTATGTACATGGATTTTCAACTTTGTGTGAATTTTCAAAGCCTCTTAGCCAATTACCTTTTTTCGAGAATAATGCGAAAATTATCATTAACTAAGAACTAAAACAAAAGTATTTATGCAAAATACAAAAAGAGAATTAAAATTCCAAGAGATAAGGCAAAAATGAGAATGTTTTTTATCCACAACAATACATATGTAAACATCACACAGTAAAAAAACAAAAAGTTCTGTCCTCCTTCACCTCCCCCCAAGTTTGAACACTGTTTGAGATCTCTTATACTATTTATACTTGTTACTTGTCTTTAATGCCATTCATAACTTAGTTTCTTCATTTGTAATGATGTTCCTTCTTTGATAAATTACAGTGTTAAATTTTTTTTTGTTTTGTTTTATTGGCACACTGGTTTAATCTATATAACCAAATAAGTGTATTCTGTAGATTAAATATCTTGAGAATACAAGTAAATATATATATTTAAATAAAATGTTTATTTCCATTTCTTGTGTTTTTTTTAATTGACCGGTGGTGGGTTATGAGAATTTTAACAAAAGGCTTGCACTTTTATGTCACAAAAAAACAAAATATAAAATTTTAATTAAATGCTTTTAAAAAAGAGACAATACAGATAATTGCATATGAATAAGAAAACATTTTAAAATTAAAAAAAATCTTTACATTTTAATAAAGGAATCAATACCATAGAAATTACAGAAAGAGAGGTCTACCTATAATTATGCCACACATTATTTTCTTTTTTTATGTCAATTGATTTTCTACAAATTTCAAAGGCTGAGCAATGATTTTTGATAAAAAGAAGTTTTTACAAAGCATTTAGGATTAATTTTTTTTAAACATCTTCCTTGCAGAAAAGGTTTTTAAGGTTTTATTAAATTCAAAAAATATTCTACATTCACAGAAGATATTATTTTGATACTGAAGAATAAATCTACTATAAATAAATGGCATTTTCTAGAACTTAATTTAAAATTTTATGTTATTTACAATGGATCTGACCAAATTAAAATAAAGCCAAACGAGAATAGAAAGAAAAGAATGATTAACATTAAATATGATTCTGACACTTAGCATACATGTTTTCATGGAGTTAAATAAGCAAGAAAACAAAAAGAACAAGAGGCTTGAAAAGGAGAGACAAATTCAACAGAGTTCATGCTGACCTCCTAAAGCTTATCAATGGAATCAACGATGGACATTGCCTTCTATTTTACTGTAATAAATTGGTTCTTAAATGTATTTGTTGTCATAGCTTTCAAATCATAAGACTAATCTGTATTTCATTAAAGAAAATAAGCAAAAGACTATAGAGAACAAGGTAGCATGTACCCTGACTGACAACTTTATTATGACCATCCCATCAACATTTGGTTGGGTCACTTATTGCCTTCAATATAGCATTGCTTCCTCTTTGCATGGACTCTGTGAGATGTTTATAGTTTGATGACACTATGCTTGATGAATAGACTTTTCAATAACGTGAGACAAGATGGTTGTGGATTAAGATGTTTGAATGTTCTTTCAGTTTCTTTCCATAAATGTTCAACAGAATTGAAATTTAGGGATTGTGAGTGTGTGATAAAGGGCTTCAAAGCACAAGTAAATTCTCCTTCATGCTCCTCAAACCAATCCTGTACAATACCTGCACTTCGGCATGATGCATTATCTTGCTGAAAGTAGCCATTTCTATTGGGATAAACCATCAACATAACAGGATGCCCTTGGTCAAGCAATGATGTTTAGATACAACGTCTTATTCAGATATTCAAGAACATATATTAAAGAGCCCGCAACATAACTGGGAACATTTCTCAAACTATCACATTACTTCTACCAGGCTGAAGCAATGCAATTAGCATCCATCTTTTGCACTGCTTCTGAAAACTTCTCACTCAAACCGCAGAATGTAACTGAAAATATGATTCTTCGGACCACATAGCTTGTTTTCAATTATCCACAGTCCAGTACTTGCACTTCTGAGTGAATCTGAGCTTCTTCTTTCAATATTTCTGCTTCTGAATATTTTGTCTTATTTGCTTCAGACAGCAACAGTGACCTTTGGCTTCCACGTCCCACATGATATATTATACAGCAACCAGTGTGTTCGGAAATCCTTTAAGATGATCCTTGATTAAGACATACTGCAAATTATTTGAAAGTTAACATTCTGTTCTCTTTGACAAGTTTAAAGACCTTTCAATTCTTCCCAAACATTTACCAGTTGGACCACAAGCTGCAAGTTGAGACTCAGCTTTTTATTGGACAGTTCAATCTTTAAACTCTGTAATCGCAACTGTTGTTGCATATTTCACACATGCAGCAGTTTTGTGGATACTTGCTCCACAGCTCTGAGTTCCTACAATCATCACACATTCAAAGTCCGGCAAATTGCACCCCCCCAAATGTTCACAAACAGTTCATCTATATAACTGTTACAGAAACTAAGCTTTTTTTTTAACTAATTTAATTAATTGATAATTAATTCATTAAACTAATGTTTTACTATCCTAGCTCTCTAGCAATTACAGTGTGATGCTATAGTTAATTTGTTTATAACTGTCAGATGGTCATAATAATAAAGTAGCTGTTCAGTGTATAAAAGAAAAACAAATCAGATATTTGTACACAGTCAAGCCACATACAGGAAGGTTAATTTACAAAAGCCAGATTCCTAAAAAAAGAATAATAGCAATTTTACATGCAAATAAAATCACAATATTTACCTGATAAGCACGATCTATATTATCTCTAAATGGAAAGAAGGCATCGGAGCTCAGTGTTACCCCTTTCAACTGCTTGATCCACTCTGCTTTTTCAGCCTATATACAGAAAGAAATGATTTAAATGAAGGAAAATGGCAAAGTATTAATATGCATATACAGTACATATCCAACAATTTTCACAGCTTCAGATCAGTTTAAATTTTGGGGATAACAGCTCAGGTTTTAAGTTTTCCCTTTCTAACTACTACATTAAATTTTGATTGTCTGCACATAAATAAGGGCCCACCAGCGGCCGAGCAGTAAAGTTGCTGAACACTGGTAGTTCGGTCCGAGGTTCAAATCCCGCGAACAGGCTGGTTGCACGAGCGTTTTCGTGGTTTTCCCCATGTGTAACGTGTATACGAGCCAGTTTCCCTTAGAAAGTCCTCCATGAAGGCATCCTTCCCTTTGGGCAGATAGTCTGTGTGCTTTGCTGTAATCTCAATAAACCAAAACCAGTCTGCACATAAATAACTAATCAAAACGCAGTTGTCTTACCTCAAGAATTATTTAATGAAGATTTAAAGAATGCAAAACTATACATACTAGAATACAAAACATTTTTTAAATATAATTATGACATTTTATGCCTTATAATACCAGTACAAGTGAAAAATGTTGCAGAGAGTAAAGAGGATACATGTTAAGAAATTTTTGAAGTAAAGAACGCTTTTGAAAAATGCATTGAAGTATTTTAAGTACAACAAATTGTACACTCATCAGCAATATTTCTTTGTAAATAATTTTTAAGCTTTCAGATGTAAGACAAACAAATATACTGTTTACAAAACCCCTACACTAATTCTGCTATTAAATTTTTTGCATATGCAACTGAATTAAAAACACTATCAGTAATTAATAAAAAGTACTTGAAATTTTGTTTTATTGATGCAGAGAAATATGATGTCATACAGCGAAAGCAGCGCCCTCAGCTGAAGTAGAAGTTAAATGCTAGATGGGAATGGCACATTATGCCATATCCTTTGATTTGTAGAATTTTCCGTATGTTGATTAACTAATTAACTGTACATATTGTAAAAAAATATTTAACTCAAAACCTTGTTGAATATAGATCAATTATAGATATAGATATGATGTTCTTCATATAGAAAGATTGGTTTTAGATATGGTAGAAGCTTCGCCTTAGAATAAAAAAAACCCTTTCGCGACATGGTGCATTGGCCGCGAACCTTTGGTCAATTTAAAAATTTGCATTTTTTAATTTTGAATTAGCACTTTGTGCGAAGACAGCCAAGGTAAGCCTGTATCTTCTATTTTTGGTATAGTGGAAGATCTTATTGCTAAACTGAAATCGAAACGAAAGATATTGAGGACCACAATGTCCAAGATATTGAAGAAAATTGAAATTGAATTGAGTAAAGATGATAGTAGTATAAATGTAAATGTATTAGAAGAAATTTTAGACCAGTTAAACGAAAAATCAAAATCCTTGATTGATTTAGACACTCAAAAAGAAAGAGAATTGAAAGTCAAAACAGACGAATTTGAACTTGAAATCACATCTGTTTTGGAAAACGTAGAAAAAATTCAACTATGGCAGTTTAGAGGAAAGAAAAAGTTGAAGGAATAGAATAAGCTTGAAAAATCGGACAATGCAAGTAGGGACATTTCTAATGAAACCATTACAGAATCCAAAAGTGAAAATAATAAATTCACTAGTCTTCCAAAATTAACAATCTCTAAATTTTATGGTGATCCTTCAAAGTGGTTAGAATTTATAGGTCAGTTCAAAAATGCGATTGATAAAAATTCGAATTTATCAAAAATAGAAAAATTAATTTACTTAAAAAGCTTTCTTGGTGGCTCAGCAGCCAAAGCTATTTCTGGTTTCGCTCTCATCGAAAATAATTACGAAGCTGCTCTTGAACTGTTACATTCCAGATTTGGGCAAACAAACATTTTAATTAATTCACATTTAGAACAACTCTTAAGTATTTCACCTGTTAGAAATCCTAATGATGCAAACGGATTAAGAAAACTTCTCAATCACACCAAAGTACAGATAAATCTTGAAGCATTAAAAATAGACTGATTCCTATGGAATTTTTTTAACACCTTTAATTTTGAAATTACTTCCTTATGAATTTGTTCTTGATTATAACCGAAAAATTAAAGACAAAAATTAGGATTTAAAAGGTCTGTTAGCCTTTTTGAGGAAAAGTATTCAGTAGAAAATGCACGGCTTCTGTTAATTGTAACTCTAGAGAGAAATATTCACAATCGGAAAAGTATCTGCCCTTCAAATATAAACATTCTCCAGCCATAACAAGCAAGCCGTCTACGCTTCAGTTATTAGCTGCGTCAGCTGAATCACAGTGTCTGTTCTGCAGGAACACAAATCACAAATCTGCGGATTGGGAAATTTTAAGTGTAGAAAAGAAAAAAGAGATTTTGAAACGGGAAGCACAGTGTTTTCTTTGTTTGGGTCGATTTTACTGGATTCAAAATTGTAAACAAAAAATAAACCCAAGTAAAGAATTAAAAGTTGGAGATGTCGTTCTTTTGGAAGGGTCTACAAAGTCCAAACTCTTATGGGAACTTGGTATGGTAGTTGAGTTATACAGAGGACCAGATCAACATGTTCATTCTTGTTTAATTAAGACATCCAAAGGACAAAATTAAAATTAATACAACTCTTATATTCTTTAGAAGTTGTGAACCAACCTGAGAATTACTGACTTTTTTTCCAACATTTGATGAAAACTTTTTGAACTTATTGATTATTCAGTAATTTCTTATATTCAAGTGATTAATTTGTTTTATTTTATATTTTAGTAGATGTTCAAGAAGATTTTTTTCTTTTCAATTAGCTACAGTAAGTAATTGTAAGTATTTTCATTTCATTTGGATTTGATTGTTATTTTGTTTAATTGTGTATGAGTTCAGGTGGGGAGTGCAGAGAAATATGATGTCATACAGCGATAGCAGCGCCCTCACCTGAAGTAGAAGTTAGATACTAGATGGGAATGGCACATTATGCCACATCCTTTGATTTGTAGAATTTTCCGTTTGCTGATTAATTAACTGTACATATTGTAAATAAATATTTAACTTAACCTTGTCGAATATAGATTAATTATAGATATAAATATGATTTCTTCATATAGAAAGATTAATTTTAGATATGGTAGAAGTTTCGCCTTGGAATAAAAACCCCCCTTTCGTGACAATTGAATTAGCCTCATTTTCTTTGCTTGGTTTTATGATTTTATGCCCTCAATTTTTTTAACGTGTTTTTTCTAAAAATCTACCCTTTTTCAGTGATGTAAAGAAATTGTTCTGCAGAATATAAACAAACCAGTTAGGAAGCACATTTAAGTTGGAAATCGGAGTCTATAAACATTATGAACAAATAAATTCTATACACAAGTTATTCATCATAAATTCAAATTAATTGTGGAGATGCACAGTGTGTCTATACTATAAAAGTAAAACTGACAAATGTGCAGAAAATGCTAAATGACTTGTATAAAAAGATGTATTCACTTCTTCAATAAAAACAAGTATAGAATATATTTTTCAAAATGTTTAATTGCGTATGAAATTTAATTATTTCTTTTCATCCAAAAATGAGCACAGATTACAAGCATTTATAAATTAGGAAGTCACAGATTACCAAAATTCTATTATTTAACTGAAAAACTCATAAAAGAAAAATGCACTTTTATTTCATTCATGGTACATTTATTCTGCGAGGATTAAGTTATACAGTTTTGCTTACCTCAGTTAACAGATCAGGTGGATTAACAAGTGAATTCTGATATATTTCAAGAGGCATATCCTGCAACATAAAAATAAACTTAGTAATCAACATAAACTAATTTAACAAACCCTTACATGATAAATTCTGCTAAAATGTCATTAAACTTTGATTCCAAAGTTAAAGGCACATACGTTCGGATATACAGTGGTTCACATTTGTTTTCGGATACTTGCATTTTTCAGTTTTATTTGAAAATATAATTTATTAAATGTTAGTGAAATGACATTTTCTTTCACGTGTACTATTGATCAGTAAAAATAAAATAAATAAATAAAAACTTGTTATGAAAAAAATTATTCAAAATGTTTTTGGTTAAAAAAAAAAAGTTCTGAGATGAAGTCACATAAGTACAGTGGAACCTCGAGATATGAGCATTTCTATATAAGAGAAATCCGATATGAGGAAAGTATGAGCAAAAAAATTTGTCTCTAAATACAAGTATTGACTCAAGTAACAAGCAATGAGCCAGGCTGTTGGTATGCAAGGCGCCATTTCCCGATCCGGCTCAACTTAGGGAATCTTCTTGCCAGATTATTCGGTGTTCTTTGACCTACATGTTTGCGCATCAATTATTTATTACATTTAAACATGAAAATAATTATTTCACGATGCCTCTTAAGAAGACTGTTACCTCAGATAGCGCTGCGAAGAAAACTAAGCCATGGCCATTGAAATTAAGAAAGAAAAACAACTGTGGTGTAGATAAACAACTGTGGTGTAAGAGTGACAGACTTGGCGAAGACTTACGGCATTTCGACATCAACAATTTGCACTATTCTGAAGAAGCAGGAAGAAATTAAGAAACGGTATAGCCAAAGGAGTTACCGTTACTTCCAAACACTGTCCGAAACTCCTAGAAGATGTTGAGAAGCTGTTGTTGGTGTGGATTAACGAGAAGCAGTTAAAAGGTCGGTGTCGGAAGCTGTCACACAAGTAAACTAAGGTTATATTATTTAACGAGTGTTATTTATTAGAAAAATTGATTTTTATGTTTATATTTGGATTTCCAGTATTTTCAATGGGGAAGTTTGTTTCTAGATATGAGAAATTCGCTATACGAGCTCAATGTTAGAACGAATTAAACTTGTATCTCAAGGTTCCATTGTATTTGGAAACTTTGAACAAATAGTTCATATTTAATACACGCATGAAAATAATGGAAAATTCAACATTTCATTGGATACATTTTAGTTAAAAATACATTTTTCACATGCTTTGTCATGGACTCAATTAAATTTTCCATGTAAGAATGTTTCACTTTGTTCCATTTCTCCATAAGAACAGCTTAGTAAAACTTTTGAAAAAATATAGTTTCTTATTCTTGTTTTCCAACTGCCTCCATACATTTTCTATAGGCTTTAAGTACGGATAATATGGAAGAGTTTTTGTTAACTTCAGGAGAGATGTATAATAACTGCAAACAAACATTTAGGGCTGTATGTTCAGGATCCTTATCCTGATAGAACTTGATTGTATTCTGCATTCTAAATTTTACTCCAGATGCTTTTAAATATCATTTAATGATTTTATATATATTTGACTATTTATTATTTTCTATAATAACTAAATTTTCAACCCCAGAAACAGCATGATGTTGCCGAACCATTATGCTCCCACCCTTTTACTTAACAGTAGGCAATAGGTTTTTACAATTCATTTCTTTATTAGGCTTTTTCCACACATCAATTCATCCACCAGATACAAATATATTGAATCTTAACTCATCTGTAAATATAAGCATTGTTTCAATATTATAAATCTTTGCTTACCATGAATTCTACAAACACCAATTCCTTGTTTTCTTGTTGATAAAGAATTTCTTGTTTGCTGACTATCCATTGTATCCATGTGCATCCTAATGACTGTTCTAACAATTCCAGAGTTAACTTTTATTGGAAACTGTTCCCCTGCAAGCTTTAGAGCACTAAAGTTCAGATATTATTTGATTTCTCAGAGGATCCAAAATCCTTCGTGTTAGCTTGGAATGTAGTCTGGAATTGACAGCTTTTTTAACAGTTCCACGCCATTCCCACTGTTTTATAGCATCAAAGATAGCTGAGCATATTACACCAAGAATTTATTATATTATTTAATATTTCAAGTACTTTTACTACATTTAAAATGATAATTTTCTAGAAGTTGTGATTTTGTAATTCCTTACTATATTAACTTCTGATATAGGACTGCTTCTGATACAAGCTCTAATTTACAAACGCAAGTGATAATTCTTATGATGAATTTTCATTTACAACAAAAACATCATCTGCCGAAACATTTCGACAAAACTTTTGATTGTCTGAATCATTGCAAGTTACTGATTAACACTTTTTGAGTAAATTATTTTATTAAAAGAAATATGTTAATGATATTTATTCTGTAATAAGCAATGTTAAAAACCAAGCCATGTTCTGGTCTGTTGAATGGCAGATCCAACACCTAGGATTTCATCTGTATCTTATTCTAGAATGACAATGTAACAAGATTCGTTTTTCCATATTTAAGCAGACAAAAAGGGTACAAAGTGCTTCCTGACAAAAACAAACATTTTTCATTTTATAAGCATTTCATTTCTCTATTTCTTTTATATCCTGCATTTTTCAGAAACAGTGTTAAGTAATATCTACAGTTAAAGTATTTCAGAACCTATTGCAATATTAATTATATAAACTAAGCACACAATTACTTTCTTTATTCAGTTTCATTACTTACCTTCCCAATTGTACCGCTGACAAAATTATCAATGATGTTAGAAATTTCAGCCCGCTTTACACCTTTTTTAAATTCCATTTGTAGTACTTTAGGGTGATGGCGTAACCACCTATTTGATTCAAATTAAAAAAAAAAAAAAAAAAATTATTAGAAACAAGATGAAACATAAGATGAGCTTTTTAATATGAAAACTATTTCAGTGAGAAAGTATTTATGCAACATGAAAGTTTCAAAATGGACAAAACTTTTTGTATGTACAGGAGGTCTTATCATTCAAAAAAGAGTTAATTCATAAGTTAATAGCATAAATTTCTTGTAATTTTAAGGATCAAAGCTGATTCTGTCTTAAGCTTCAATAATTCATTGCATTTCTAACAAAAAATTTAAATTACAATGAATACTAAGGATTTAATAAAGTCAATCTAGCTTGATATAAAGTTTAATTTAGTAAAATTCAATGTAAAATAAAATTGAAATTCTTAACAACAATTTTACAATGAAATTACAGTATCAGAAATTAACTTCTGTAAATGACAGTAGAATTTAATGGAAAAGTATAGAATGTTCTAAAAAAGAAGATTCAGAAGAAAATCTCTTTTTAATTTTTGATAATTAATAACTCTACATCATTTGTTATTAAAATGTTATTATAAAAGTTACAAAAACATTATTTGTTACATCACCTGCCATTAATATTAATCATACACAGAATCTGAATTTATAACACTCCATGGAAAACTTCTGAATTTTTATAGATATTGTAACTGAATTGGTTAGAAATTTTTGTTGCATTTTATTTTAAATGTTTACTTTTTAATATTAAAATTCATGAACAACATGTTTACAAGACAATAAAAGTATATGAAATTAAAAGTCATCAAACATTTGTAAACATCAGTTTCTAACAAACCTCCAAATAAGTAAAAAATGTTTCAGAAGAGATACTTAAAAAGATATATTAAAGAGTATTTAATATTTAATCTTGTATTATATGGTACTTTAGTACTAAAGTAGCAAGAGCATATGCTTTGGTGAAATTTGGGAATATTTTAAAATTAATTTGGCAAATATTAAAAACCCTATGGCAACCTTCAAAAAATGAAAAATCACAATATGGGAATATGATAAGCAACATTTATTTACCTTTCAGAAATAACATATATTTACATTTACGGAAGCCATAATTCAGCACTTGCTGCTATAAAAGAATCAAATATTTTGTCTCATTTTATCTACTACCACTGAATAAATTCTAAACATAAATATGAATGTTGGCCAGCCATTCCTCTTTGTCTTTTGTTTTACCATCTGAACGCAGCTTCAATATAAATATTTTCATAATAATAATGAATATGAAAGAATGAATGCTATCATGAAGAACCTAATTCTTATTTTAAAACTGATAGAAAGTTAAAAGTTCCCAACACTTACAAAGAAATTAATTAACAATAGAACGATATCACATGGTCAAAAGTGAGCATGAAAATAAAATATGTGGCACATTATAAATATCACGAAACATTATTGCTACTTTTCTAATTGAATATAAGTTAAAATGCTAGACATTTTAAAGAAAAAAATAATTACTGAATCAATGATATCACTTGGATTAAAAAAATCACAGCAATTAAAACAGTCTGAAAATTAAATTCTTCGCAGGATAAAAATCTGAGGACTATATCTGGTTGTAACGGAAGTTTTCCACAAAAAACATTCTTAATATAGTTAGGTGAGGAAAAAAAACATGAAAGCAGTATCTATAGTGAAGGTAATAATCACCACCCAAATCTATGATTTTCTGCCAATATTTTGCTAGTTTTTCAAATGCTTCGACCCAGAAACTTGGTAGCCGTGAGTCCAAAAACAGACCAACCTCGTTTCGGACATCCTGTGCAGAATGGAAGATAGCACCAGCAAGATGTAGTTGCAAATGGGGGGGGAAGTAGACATCCAAAGGAGCAATGTAGGGGCTATATGGTGGGCGTGGCAAAAGATCTCGTTCGAGTCCATACAGAGTTCAGCCGGTGAATGCAGACACACGTGATCTTGCATTATCTTGATCAAATATTACCTTTTTGTGGTGGAACTCAGTTTGACATTTTTCCTGAATAGCAGCATCAACATGGACTAGCATCTCGCTGTAAACCTTACTGTTGAGGGTTTTACCTTCTTCCAGATAATCTTTGTGGATAATACTACCGCAATCCCACCAGATACAAAGCACAATCTTTCTGTTAGTCAAATTGTACCTTGTGATGCTGCCGATGGCCTCATCGAGCCCAAACCAACACCCCTTCAGCCTGTGTTGTTGAAGTAAATCCACTTTTGATCGTAAATAATGATCTGGTCCAGAATTTTGTCCTCGCATTGATATTCGAGCAGATCAGTGCAGGCCTAAACATGTCTGTCCTTATCTGCTTGAGTCAGCTTACGCGGCACACCAGCGAGTGAACTTGTAGTACATCAAATTTTTGCAATGCATAGGACTAATGGATATGGCCCTAATGTCTAATTCCTTAGCAAGCTCTCCAGTGGTTGAACGGATCATCTTCCTCAAGTTCTCTCAGGCAGGACTCATCAACATAAGTAGGCCGGCCAGAGCGTTCTGATTATTGAATGTGATAGTCCTTGTTTTCGAACTTTTGATACCAAACCTTCACAACGCGGTAGCGTGATACCTCCATTTCACACACCTTCTATATAATGATATTTTTTTTACAAATTTCACAACACTGCATTCTAAAACAAGTCTCTTTCTTTCAAATGCCAAAAATCATTTGACAAAATATGATTAAACATGCCAACGTGAACTGTTTGCGCAGATTATATTTGCGGCGACAGGAAACTTTCGTTAAAACCCAATATTTACTAAGCCTGGTGTGATAAGGTTACATAAAAGAAGAAGAGACTGAAGATTAATATGGACAAGAATGTCACGTGAGAATAAGCTGAAAATTATTATTTTTTAACTTACAAACACGTTTTCAATAGTTGTTAAAATAGTCTTTATTAAAATAATTAAATCGTTGGCAATGTTAAAAACGCAAATCATTTCATTTGCCATGAATTGCTCTCGCACGTAAAATGTATAGAATTTGATTTTTGGAGAGAGATAGGTTTTTCTCTGCAGAATTGTATGTAGCCAATTTTTTTTTTTTTTTTTTTTTTTTTTTTGCGTTCAATAAAATTTTTATGCTGTGTTTTGTTTTGAACCTGATGTCACAACCCAGGTTTTGCATAGCGGTTTCGGCCACTACACCACACTGGTGACTAATTTTAAGATTTTGGCGACTGAGGGCCACTGCAATCCTAAAGTAGCTTAAATTATGTATGTTTACAAAAATATTACATATGTCTACAGAAAATGTTGGGATGTTAAATAAATGAAAGCAACAGAGGTACATTATGCTATTGGTCAAATAATTACAGCTGATAACCACACTTATTAATTTGTAAAACATAAGGATTTCTTTCTACAATAATAAAATAGAAAGTATGTCTCAAACAAGAACATCCTTAATTTTTAAAATGAACTAGTATATAATCTTTTAATTTTTATGTCTCGTTTTGCTTTCAAAAAGATAAAAAAGAAATTAATTGCTTTTATATGCTATCTTTAATTTGTTTTTATTTATTTATTTATTTATTTTTATGTCTATTTATCTTTTTGCCTGAACTGAAATCCATAAAATTCTAAAATGTATACAACTTTATGTTCAAAGTTGAGTACATCTCTCATCTTCCACTACACTTCCACAAGATAATTAAGTCTTGCATAGCATTTACTAACAGATAAATGTTTCAAGAAAACCATAAGATATAACTTAGTGCACAGATTCCAGCTCAAATGAAATGATTTAAATTACTGCATGCATACCAAATATTTGCCTTCTCGCCTGCTAATCTTGTACAGTGAATACGTGATTGCTGTCCAGCACCAGTCCCAATTACCTAGAAATTTTCAGGTTCAAATATAAAACAATACAAAATCTGAAATATCTAAAAGGCAAACACAAAGCCACCAACATAGAAGTGGTCAAATGAACAATAACATTTTTCAAAATCAAAAATAATTTGAGTCATAAAATGAATTCACAAAAAATTAAGAATTAAAAAAAAAAAAAAAAAAAAAAAAGAAAAGAAAAGAAAGAGAGAGAGACAGTACAATGTACAAAATTTAAAAATACTCATTATAGTCTACTTTAAACCAAGATAATAATTTGGAAAGCAAAAAACTTTTTGACAGTTTCAAGTATGGTTCAGACATAAAAATTTGTTTTTATTTTCTGTATTCCCAATTTATAGCTACTATTATGGTGCTGGTTTTGCTTATTCATTTTAGATTTTGTAACTACATGTTGGCATTTTTTTTTCTTACCATTTTGGAGCATATATATTTCTGAAATGGATTTTAACTTTAATTGATAGTCTTAAAAAGTATTTAAAAAAAAAAAAAAAATCTATGATGTGGACACCACATGACTTCCTTATATGACCTATTAAATTAGACACATTTTTTGCTGCATTTTGTTTAAACTTATTTCTTTGAACTATTCTAACTTACTTAATCAATTCCAGTTGAAAATGACATACAAAATTGTAAATTTTCAAATTAAATATTGCCAGTTACAATCAAAAAGCGAAGTCCACAACTAGATGTTATATCAGGCCTAGATATAAAATGATAACGTTCTATGGCTAACTGTTTTTGAATTGTGCGAGATATATATACATACATACATCCTACTGGTGATGCCCTGTGTGAATTCACTAATTCTATTAGAGAAAAAAAGAATTGAGAAACATGTTGTAGCAGTAGCATTCGATATTAATAAGGCATTTGATTCTGTGGACTGGCCCTCCCTCTTGCATGTTTTATTACAGATAAAAATTCTGAGGGATTGTTTCTGTTTATTGATTAACTATTTCAAGATAGGAAAATTGCATTCTCCATGGAGGCAGCCACAGACACTAATCTTTATTATAGAATTGGAAAAGGCTGTCCACAGAGGTCCAATAGCGCTCTGCTGCTCTGGAATTTAGTTATTAATAAATTATTACAAGCACAGCTCCCTCCTGATGTAAAGTTGATTTGCTATATGGATGACTTAATGGTTTTAATTGCTGAAAGCTCATTAGAAAAATCATTCATTGAAATATCTAATATCACGTGAAAATTGACATAGTAAAAGAAAACTAGATTTTAATTTTATGAAGACAAAAATCCCTGTTTTTCCAAAAGGTGGGAAGCTCACTAGAAATTCTAAATTGAAATATAAGGGAGAAATAATTACGGTTGAAAAATGTTTGATACTTAGGTGTTGTGTTCGATGACAAACTGTCTTTTAAAGAACATTTTAATGGAATACAGAAAAAGACTGATACAATTTTGCAATACTATAAAATATCTTTCTTGGGCACAACTCTTACTATGAAGCACAACTCTTACTATTCTTGGCACAACTCTTACTATGTTCCACTCTTACATTTTATAAATGTGTGGTTGTTCCTACTGTAATGTATGGGATCAGAGCCTGGCGTGCTAGAGTAGCGGAGCTGCAAAGAATTAGAAACAAGTTAAATACTATACAGAGGAGCTGGCTGCTTGCCATAACTAGACTCTTTAGGATTGCCCCAACAGAAGTTGCAAATATTTTGGCAGCCATTACGCCTCTCTCATTAAAACACAAATTTTACTATATAGGAAACATACATGTATATTGAAAGAGGGAAGGTCTGATTTTTACAGTTATGGAGACGAATTGATTTTCAGTACAGCCTTCTCAGTTTTTAATTATAATTTATTACAGCCAAAGGAAAGACGCTCCATGTTCTGCAGGCTCTCTCTGACCCAATCAACAAAATTTCAATATGCAAATAGTTAAAATTTTATATTTTCAGTTGATTGAAAAACACAGATTCAATTTTAATTGGGTGAAAGCTCATACAGGATATAAAGGTAACAAGAGGGCAGATGCCTTAGTTAAAGAGGAGCATGGTGTTATGCATGGATGCATGTACAATAAATATTCAAGCATCCAGAAATAAATGCATTAACATTATGAAAAGTGATATCTTTGCTAAATGGAAGACTCAATGGAGTCTTTCTGAAAGAAATGCTGCATTTTTTAACTGAATAAGAAAAATTAAAACTATAAGTGACATAGACTTAAACCAACTGATTTCAGGATACGGCACATTTCCTCATTATTTAAAAAGATTCAACTTGCAGAACTGTGAGATATGTAGAACTTGTAATAAGATTGGAGACAATTTACACTTTATGATGGGATGCATATTAACAAGACACATTGAAGGTGCAGATCCAAATTTTATGAAAAAGTATACATTGTGCTATGAAGACAGCAAGACTGATAATGGAGATCATTAACAACAAAAAGGAGGCCATTGGCATTGATTGTAGATAGTGTGTTTGGTGCTTGTGATAATTTTCTTTTGTATTTTTAGTTCTTTATATTAACACTACATTTTGCTTAGATTTTTTTTTTTCTCTAGCTTTCCTATGTGTGTATTATTCCAGCAGCTATTTATTCAAAATGCTAGCTAGTTCTATTATTTAAGTTTCTTTAGTTTGCTTATATTAACCTTTTTTATTACTTAGGACTCTTTTCCGGTGCTTAAAGTATATTATAGTTTCTGATGAACAATTAAAACCTTTTATATGGGGCATGGCCGGGCACTGGAAGTCCTCATTTGTTGTTGAAATTGGTGTACCTCAAGTGTGGCCATAGGGTAATTTTATTTTGCAAGGAGGATTGGGCTGCACCCCCTAGTTCACACACATAGTAAGAGATTTTATGCATATTTCGTTAATATGCAAGAATGAAACCGTGTTGCTGTCCTGTACAAGATTTTCTGAAATTATAGTGTAAGAGCAAAACAGTGTAATAAGAGAGATAACTATACATAATACTTTTACTAACATGCAGTGTTTTATAAATATTCTGGCAACAGGAAATTGTACTTCGAGCTTCATCATATATAAATAATTTTCAGTGAGCATTACTCAAGAATGAAAGCTGCATGCAAAAATTGCTGTGTAAAGATCAAGCAATGAGTTATTAGTTACACTGGGATATGGCACACAGGAATCACACATTGAACTTGTAAGTTCAATGGATTGAATTACATTTTACCATAAAAAAATTATACCAAATCATAATAAAATTCATAGCATAAATAACAATGTTCAACACAACAGATCATAAAAAAAAGCCAAATATAGTTATGTAAATGAAATGCAATACAACATACTTGACCATTTTTTGCATAACAGACAGAATTGGACTGAGTATATTTCACAGCTAAAGTGGCGAGAATCAAATCACGGATACCATCGGCAGGAATCTTAAAAATAAAAATTCAATAAATAATTCTGAAACTGAAAACTTTAGTTTGCATCCTAATATCATAAAAAAGAGTTTACTATTAAAAAAAATTATTAAAATATAAATCATTTTAAAAATTAAAAAACAATTGATTATACAGTTACATACAATGTTAAAAATACCTTTTATTAATTAAAATAATGCTGCAAATGATTCTACAAACTATCATTTAAACATGAATATTAAATTTACATCAGATATATTTTTGAAAAGTAAAACAGGTATTTTAATTATTAATGACTGTATTTATTGTTTTTAAACTGCCCAGTCTCTTAATAACAGGTTATTTTTCAGGATGTATGACAGCATATAGAGTTTAAATTGTTAAATGTTTTCTTTTATGCAATGGCAACAATCAACTTTCATTAATTATAACAAAAACCTGACTGTTTATAAAAATTACCAATTTAATATGTTTAATGTATATCAATTAAATATATTATTAACAAGCTTAAAATTACTAATATGTGCATTTAATGCTTTTAAGCTGCTTAATTTTTTAATCCGTAACAAGCTGTTCATATCTGAAAGATAAAGATCTTCAGCTTCACCAAACAGCAACATTTTGAGATCTGACAGTCTCTCTCTCTATATATATACATATACATACACACACATTATAGGGGCCTATTTAGGTAAAAGTATTAATAGTTATTTTAATTTTTGAGCCTTTCCTGAATTCTCTTATTTCCCTTTGCATTTTCTCACCAGGATGTAAATGAAGTAAGTGAATGAGAGAATTTAAACTTTTGCAATGAAAAGGTTAGAGAGAGCATGATTCACTAATGAAGCACAAGTTTGCTATTTTGTTATCCAGCTGTTAATCTTAGTAGCAGCTACGCATTCTGGCTGTCTAGTTAGTATACACCGAAGTGACAAAAGTCATGGGATAGCAATATGCAAATATACAGATGGCAGTAGTATCGCGTAGAAAATGTATAAATGCGAAGTGCTTTGGCAGGGCTTTCATTTGTGTTCAAGTTATTCATATGAAGAGGCTTTGACGTGATTATGGCCGCACGACGAGAATTAACAGACTTTGAACGCGGAATGGTAGTTGGAGCTAGACACATGGGTCATTCCATTTCGGATATCGTTAGGGAATACAACATTCCGAGATCTACAGTGTTAAGAGTGTGCCGAGAGTATCTAATTTCAGGCATAACATCCCACCATGGACAGCGTAGTGGCCGACCACCTGCACTTAATGACCGAGACCAGCAATGTCTGCGTAGAGTTGTCAATGTTCACAGACAAGAAAAACTGCGTCAAATAACTGCAGAAATCAACCTGGGACGTACGAGGGACGCATCCGATAGGACAGTGCGGCGAAATTTGTCTTCCATGCCAGCGAAAGACTGACTCGAGTGCCTTTACTGACAGCACATCGCCTGCAGCGACTCTCATAGGCTCGTGAACATGGTCAAATGAGTCACGATTTCAGTTGGTAAGAGCCGATGGTAGGGTTCGAGTGTGGCGCAGACCCCACGAAGCCATGGACCCAAGTTGTCAACAAGGCACTGTTCAAGCTGGTGGTGTTTCCATAATGGTCTGGGCTGTTTTTACATGACATGGACTCGGTCCTCTGGTGCAACAGAACCGATCATTGACTGGAAATGGATACCTTCAGCTACTTGGAGATCACTTACAGCCATTCATGGACTTCACGTACTCAAACAACGATGGGATTTTTATGCATGACAATACGCCATGTCACCGGGCCACAATTGTTCGCGATTGGTTAGAAGAACATTCTGGACAAGTCCAGCGAATGATCTGGCCACCTAGATCACCCGACATGAATTCCATCGAACATTTATGGGACATCATCGAGAGGTCATTTAGTGCCCGAACACTGCACCGTCAACAATTTCACAATTATGGACGTCTATAGAGGCAGCAATGTTCAATATTCCTGCAGGGGACTTCCAATGACTTGTTGAGTCCATGCCACATCGAGTTGCTGCACTTCGCTGGGCAAAAGGAGGACCGACAAAATATTAGGAGGTATCCCATGACTTTTGTCACTTCAGTGTATTGCCGGTGTAGGTTTCTGAACTAGCCTGTTAGATTAAATTGAATTTTGTAGTCTAGCAATATACCTTTACCTTTTAAATTTATTGTTGCATTATCATTTTCAGTTCTCAAAAGTGGTCAGTGCTGTTTTGTATGCATATAAGTCCGTGCCCTCTGTTAAACAGTTTGTGATAAATAAAAGGGCCTCTTACACCCTTTCCTTGTTGTGTTCATCTTTATGCCTGTGTGAGAAGTCGTAAGGTTAACGTGCAAGTAGATCAATTCATGCTAGCAAATAAATACTAGATCTCACAACACAAAATTACATATATACAGAAATAAGTTTAGAAGAAAATAATTGACATTTTATACTTTTAAACAGTTTCTTACTTATAGGATATTTGTTTTTATATGATACGAAGCAAGGCATGAGAAACAACCCATTATCACAGTCTGGGCAGTAGTAGTTGGTTGTTTTATGATCCTTTTCCAGAATCATATATACTATTTTTCAGATAAATTATTGTAATATCATTATTAACATTATTGCAGCATGAAATTTCATCCTTAAAACTTTCCCCGTGCTTTACATATCAGGAAATCTTTCCCTATATATTTCTCACAAAAATACTTTCTTGCAAAACTGTTGAAAGAAAATTCTAGAATAGTTTCAAAGGATTGCTTTTGCCACCCCTAGAAGAAATTGTGAACTGATAAGAAACAAAAATACAGGCAAAACATTAAAAGAGTTCATAAACTCTTCTAGGCCATATGCTGTGCGGGCTAATCAAACGGCTCTCGGAAGTGATGCACATACACGACGTGGGCAAATCAGTTATGTGATTAATATTGTTGCTTTCTGTACAGGTTTGTGGATTTGGTGTGATTAACGACAACACTTGATGAAGAATGAAAACAATTTATTAGCTAGTATTCCTCAGAACAGCTCCAAAATCACGTTTACAGTCGTCGAAAAACTCCCGACAAATACACTGACACAATCAGCAGTACAGTACAGCCTTCAGGCTATTATCGTGAAAACAGCTTCACGGTAAAGTACCAGAGTACAGCTTCTGACTCGGTTCGGTCATTTTCGGAACTCAGCCTACTCTCGACACTACAACTCGCGATGCACTCAACGGTACAATCGATAGCCTCAGAGGTGCATCAACTCACTATACAGTGACGAGACACCAACACTAGACTGACGATGAACTCGATAGACTCATTCGAGAACTTTCGAGACCAACCTGGTAAGAATTCGTTCCAGAAGGTTCTTCATCCGTATATGGCATATCGCCAATTTTGTCACCAAATCTGGCAATCCCGCCTCTCCTTGCCAGTTTATGGCAACCCTAAATCTGCTTTGTGGGGAAGCGATCCTACTGCAGCTGGGCAATTTTTTAACAATATGATTGATACTGCATAGAATCTATACAGTGTAGAGTTTACAAGAGTGCAGGATTCCCATAATAAGACATCAACAATACAGCCAGCCAAACATATGATGGCATAGAATTGACCCAGTATATGATAAACATGATAAAGAGAAAATTGGATATTGTTGTAATAATGTATAAGAGAATCAATAGATTTCTGTCATCTATGTACAGTTATCATAGACATAAGAATAACATCAGCACACAGCTGAATTTAACATGTATAGACATTTATAATTAGTAAATGTATATAATAAAGAGGGCAGGAATTTCATTTAATTATAATTATTTTAGGGTACCTGGACAGAACAGACACTGGAGAGGATCGACTGCAACATAGAAGCAAAACTGGTTTTTCAGCTGCCATAGTGACCCTATCCTGCGCTGCATTCCCCTGTGCCCCTGCTGATAAATTCTTCTCATTCTTGTCTGACAATTTCAGATACATCATGTAGCCTACAGTTTTGATTTTGTCAGGACATAGTTTTATGTTAATTGGAAATAATACACTTTTTTTGAGGTGTCTTGCTTAAAAAAAGAGGAGACAGACACTGATTTAACATCTTATACATGAAAAGACAAAAATGACAGTATATAGTTCAAAATAGAACATTATTTTAAAATTTATGAAACTGTTAAAAATCAAATTACGAAGATCTAAAAAATATAGACTAATTAAAAAGAGGTGATTACTTTAAATTATGTGCCAAAATGCATAAAAGAATGTATTATTGCATAATTAAACTTAAATTGTAAAAGGAAAAAAAAAGGAGCTTATTAATTAAATCACTTAGCAATAAAATTGCTATGTCATAAAAGAAAGCAGAAGAATTATATTTAGTTTACAAATGCATTATAACAAAATGATTAAAATTTCAAGAAATTTCCAAGAACAGAATATTTCTTGAGCATCCAGCTATGGGAACAATAGCAGCTGTTATATAATTGAAATGAGGTGGAACAAACTTTGAATGGCATGTTACGGTATTATAATTCATGTGGTTACTCTCAGAGTTCATCTAGTATATTAAAAGCTGCGAGTAATGACATGACAGTCCCTAAACACACTGGCAAAACATTTTAAATTGATGAAAGATCTGGAGAAAGTGCCAACCAAAGCAAAAGTGCAACAGTCAGCATATTGATGAAACACAGTACAACATGCCATGGCCATAAAAACTTCAGTAAGGCTACAATGTCTGGTCAAAATACAAGATACATGGACTAGAGATAAACAGGATGTGCAGCCAGTGGCACCCAATATCATCAATTAAAGAGCTAGACCAGTGTGACAAAGAATGTTGGCATCCTTATTTGTTTCTGCTAGAGCCTCTATGTATACATATGCTATACTGATGCAGTTCACAAAAGCACAATTAATAAGAAAAGATGGCATCTTGCTACTGATGTACTTATGTGAGAGTTGCCACTCAAGCAGGAAAATGAAATTCCCTGACATTTCCAGGTTTTCCAAGCGTGTTTCAAGAAAATTCCAAACTATCTGCCTAAGTGCACATTGGCTGTGTTGAGGGCAAATTAATTATAGTAGCACTTGAAAGCACAAAAATTTGCTAACTGCATAGGACGTTAGATATACAATACAATGTCTTTAATCCGGACCTCAAAGCTACAAACTTTCTGCACATTCGTAAATGCATAATGTGTTTACGCATGCGCATAATACCTTTACACAAGCGCGTTTAATGGATAACGGACGGTATAAGCTAGGCTAAAATTATCTAATTATCTATTTCAGTTAATGTTGCAGATTACGTTGTTCCTTAATCTTCTAATTAGATCCGGCTTATTATTTTTTGCAGACTGTTAGAGCAATTTTATAAAAAGTACGCTTGAACTTTCGATTATGTCAAAAAGAGTTTCTGATTCTGGAGCTGCCAAAGGATCTAGAAAGCGAAAGCATGTCTCGATGTCCATCAAACAAAAAATGGAATTGCTGCAAAAAAAAAATGGATAGATCCAAAACAAACATGGATAAATTTTTCAAACAAAAAATGGATCCTTTGTTTTTCTTACCATTCCGAAATCTGTTTATCAATTTCACGCTGCTCTACAGGGGGGGGGGATGTTGCAGCGCACAATGAACTGGGAGTTGATATGTCAGCACTTTCCTTAACTTCAGGGCAGATGTTTTTATTTTGTTCGGCTTATAATTCCGTACTAAATGTAGTATTTCATCTCGATGTACTCCGTCTTTGATATGATTTAAATCAAATTCCTCGTCATTATAAATATCACGAATACACATCAAACAGTTTTCTGGTTGCAATTTTCTAATTTCGACTATGCGTAATGTATGCTTAACGCATGCGAGCATTGAAAGAAATGTTTAATAAAGTAAACAAATAAATATTAAGCTTTTTTTTTTTGTTGTTTTGTAAATTTTGATACCCTTTAGATCATATTTGCTTTTATTTCAGAAACTACGGTTTCCTATTTTTAATTTTATAATTTCTGCATGCCATCTTACCAGATTTAAATTGATGATGTATAATCCGGAAAACCCCTAATCGCCGAAGTCCAGACGAGTCCAGATTAAAGACTTTGTACTGTATATAATTCCCAAAGCATTACTTTTATAACTATAATAGTTGTTTTCTCCTCTAAGGATTGAGATTAGAATCTGCCCAATTGGGATTTAAAAATGTCTTTTCTGCAGACATTTTGCAACTAAAGGAAGAAAGAAATCTATTAAATGATATTTTTAAATAAATTCTAGTATTTTATATTTATTTATCAGCATATATAAGTAAAAAATATGTACACTAAACTTCATGATGTCATATTACTGCTAGAATTAGTTTTGCGAGTATACTAGAGAAAATTGCCTGAAATTTGAAAATATTATTAACTAATAATAAATAAATTTAGAAGAATGAAGACGCATTAAATGATATGAATAACATTAAAATAAAATTAATTACTCAAGGATTAAAAACCAAAGTACAAAAATTGACGATATTTTGGCGAATATTAAATGGTTAGCCCAGATGATTGATTATTATTATTATTATTTATTTTTTTCATTTCACAGCAAAATGACAAATAAGACATTTAAGAAAAGGCTTAAAAGATTTTTTTATATGAGAATGGAGGGGGGGTTCCCTTTTAACATGCACTGCACAAGCACATGCAACTTGGGGGGTTACTGAAAACTTTCTTACCTTTTTAAAAGAGAATTTGATTGATGCTACGAAAATTAGTTCTACGCCAGCTTTCCGAATGAAGCTCACGCTTTGCATAATTGGCCAAGAAGGGATCGCTTCCAACGTATCGAAAATATCTTTTTGGGGGATCACAGTATGAAATTCCACAACTTTTCCAAATTTTGACTAAAATATTTAAACTCCTTGACTTTTTTGGTCAATTTTCCAATTTCCTGACTGTCCTTGTTTCCCAGGTAGTGTAGCAACCCTGTTATGTGTGTAGTTAAATTCACCATTGCAGACACCAGTTACTGTGGGGATCAAGGAAGCTGAAGCAATTGGCACCTTGATGATAATCTGTAGTATTGCAGACATTGTTATATCATGCATGTGGATACTTGGTGCTGGGTAACACAGCTAATCTTTCAGTCAGGGGTTGTGGTAATGTAGTTCCTAACAGTGATGTGGAAAAAGATGTTTGTCTTCTTGAACACCAGTGAATGTTGCCAAAACCCACACATTGTTCTCTGTGGCCCTCCTTTCTGGACTTATCGATAGCAGATTCTCATATCACTGGATCTTGACTAACATGAGTAGCAATTGTGGAATATGATAAATTGCAGTCTTGGAAGTGATTGAATTTGAGACATGCTGCTATGAGTTCTTTGTTATACAAGGCATACTATGAATTTCAGCTCACACACACACACAAAAAAAAATTATATTATGCCCAAAGAGGCTTTTTTTTTAAACGTTTTGTGTGTTATCTTTGTTTATTAAATATCATGTTCTTTGCACTTAAATCATAAAATTCAATCCAACAGCAATATCAGAAAATATTTAAAAGAGCATATTTTTAGAATTTTCAATACACAGTCTCGCACGTTAGAGATAAAAAATCCCCCCCCCGAACAGTGTTGCCATTGCTCGCTTTGAAATCAAAATCTTTCTTGATCAAAAACTCATAAATGCTTTACAAAATATGAAACAAATTCAAAATTTGAGCTTCTAGATGCCCATATTTAGGTGGAGACGTACCTTATTCAAAATTTGATGGCTCTAGTTACCGTTGTTTAATCAGAATGCGAGAAACATACATGCAGATTCTTCATTATTTAATTTCTTTAAATATAATACAGGGTGGTAATATTTGGTGGCAAAAATTTAAAAAGTAATTCATTTTTTATAGTGAATCGACGCAAAATGAAAAAACAAAATTAATAGCCCTTCTGAGCTAACACTCCTTTAGGATAATAAATAACAATAATAACACTGAAATGATTCATATTAATGTCACATCAGAGGGTTTGTTAGTTTCTTTATGCTCTTGTGGAACTTAAAGTTTACCAGTTTGCTCTTGGACTCACCCTACTAACACAAACTTCTTGTATTTTTAATTTTATTATTAAACACTGCTTCCTTCATACTGATGCCACATAAAATTCAGAAGTAAAATCATAAAATTTTTAAAAGCAACACATTTTTAGAATTCCCGATAGAGTGTTATGTGCCTTTAGCATTATTATTAAACACCACTTTCTTTGCACTTACCCCTTATCAAATTCAGCAGCAAAATCACAAAAATTTTTAGAAACAGCATATGTTTAGATTTCATTAAGTGATGCCATCATTTTTTTCAGTCTTTTCTCAGTTCATTATATCAATGTTCAGTTTCTTTAGTAAAATGACTAGACAGCTATTTTTTTTTTTTTTTTTTGTCTTTTTAGCTTTATTGATTAAACATTATCATCTTCACTGTTATGCTACATAAAATTCAGCAACAAATCTGCCAAATATCTAAAAACAGCATATCTTTAGATTTCCGATACAGTGTTGAATGTTGTCATACACTTTTTCTTTTATTCGTTATACTATTTCTTTAATAATACAAAGAGATAAAAATTGGTGGAAACATCCTTTTACTTGAAAGGTGAGGATCAAGGACTTGCCTTTTCTTTAATACTACTTCAAAGCATCATCACTCTTACTTGTAACATGGGCATGCTGCGAAATGCCAAACACTTGCATATCTCAGTAGCAGCTTTAGTGGCCAGTAGAAATAACAGTTTCGCTGTTATTTACCAGAACACTATGTCGATTAATAATCAAATAAAGAATTTTACAAAATCAACTTACTGTTTTATTTTTAGACACAATATTTGTGAAGAGCTCCTTATCGATAACTGCATCATTGATCTTTTGTGATAGTGTGAGACCAAAGAGAGTTCTTTTCTCCAGCTTAGATGGTTTGTAAGAGGGGTCCATCTAAAATTTAATTACAAGTTCATTAAATTGACTTAACAAATCACATTCAAGACTTAGTTTTAAAAATTCATATAGAAATACATGATTCTTACTTGCAGCACACAATATGTTCCATTTTTTTTCTTTTTCAAAATCTCTAAGGCATCTGCATCATAGCCTGGAGCAATTATTCCATCGGAAACCTGAATTAAAGCACAGGAAATGATATTCAATTAAAAATAATCTTTAATCAAAATTTGAAAAATATAATGATTATAAAAAATCACACCAACTTATTAGATTGAGGACATACAAGAAAAATAAATTAAATGATGTAAATACCATCTTATTAAATAATTAACATTTAAGGGATAACTGGTAAACTACCATGCAATACTTTTTAGTTTATATACTAGTAATTTTTAGATTAGCATTGGTATGATTTACAGAAAGTACAGGAATATAATAGGTATGGTGTGGATGACACCCCTTCATACATCTCACTACTATCGATCTGTAAAATAAGAGCCGAATTTGTGTTACTCATTTCAAAGTGTGCGTATACGGTATAGAGTGGTCGTGGCACATCCGCATATGTTGCTCATAACAACTCAAACGTCGTGATGCGGTAAATGCAAGGTGTGACACAGCTCTCGGTGTGTCAACACACCACTCAGAAACGTAGATGACACATGACTCTTTGTCACTGTGTTTGACGCGCCGCCACACTGAGGGAGTAAGTAGGCTAGCTATAGCACTATAGTTTAACACAATCTATTTATATTAGTACTAGTAAGCATGATTCTCATGAATGAAAGTTGGTTAAAATGACAGCGCCGAGCTAAATTGCGAGCACACGTAGTTCGTCCGGTTGGAATTCCCAACCTGGCGCATGGCGTTTTTGTGTTTTTCCATGTGTAACGGTATATGAGCCATTTCCTTAAAAAAGTCCTCCGAAAGCATCCCTGCCCTTAGCAGATAGCCTTAGTGGTGCTTTGCCATAATTAAAATAAACCAATAAATTTAAGTGAGCAGCAACATATATGTCGTTCCAACATTCATCTTTTTTTTTTCATTTCCCAAAGAATTGTCTCGAATAATCTTTTTATTTAATTGTTTTTGTTGACTTTTATTAATATTGATGTAAATTTTTCGAGTGCATAGTGAAAAAATTTTGGGACTATATTTGTTTGATATTAACTTGGGAGTGTACAGAAGAGAAACAAAATTTTTGACTGCTCGTGATCTCAGATTATTTTAATTACTCTCATTTCTGAAAACATTACATAAAAATGTAACCTTGATCAGCTGGGTGCATCCAAAGCATACGATTTTTTTTCCCCCTTCACCCTTTTTTCTCTTTGCCTTTCTGAATCATAGTAACAAAGATGCTGGAGTCATTGCTAGTACTAGAAGTAATAACTAAGATGGGGCAACTCATGCCTTAACCCTTCCGATGCGTGTATGCAAAAAATTACAACAATTCTGTTTTCAATGCCCCTTTTTTGCATATTGAAGCTGAGACATTTGAAGGTCATTTCTATTCCTCTTTTACCCTTCCCACACATGGAATGTCCCAAGGAAGTCATTTGACTTTTTTTTTTTAACTGGGCTTTTGTACTACTTGGCAGTTTGTTTAAAAGTTTGTCCACATGTGTGGTGTGGTGAAAATTCGGAAGATACTTTTTTTCTCTCAATATTTTGTTTTTGTGTTATAGTTGCCATGTATTATTTTAATTTGTATACATTTGGCTCTGTAATTTTTATATCGGTTTTCATGGCAAAAAATATGTGCAACCAGCTGATTTTGCTCACATTCTTCAAGAGTTATTGATGAAGAAAAGGAAGGATTAATCATTTTAGGCACAGCTACATCTGTGCATGTTGATATTTGGATGAAAATGGATTTTCACTCATCTTTTGTTGATAGAAATTATTAGTTTCTTCAACTATTATGTTCATTAGTTGTATGCAAAAAATGCTGAAGAAATCAATTTCATTCACATAACTTTGATTTACGTTTACTTCTGCAGTTCCCATAAATCCATAAGGCTTCAATTACCTTACAGATTGAGTTCATGATAGAATAGCCACTGTTCTACTGGATTGTGAGGCGAAAGGAAAACAAACTTCCATTTCAGTCTCTGACAAAATTTGAGTATCAAAATCACTATTCTCATTTAAATCTAGAGTCTTTGGTGTCAAAATAGTCACTGTTAAGTTCGAACGAACACTTATGGGCTTTACAATTTGAATATACTCTTCTGTCCCTAAAAACTTATCTCTTTTAGACATCGTATTATTAGTTTAACTCTCTTAACTGGTGTAAAAAACTTACATCTGCTATATAAAGAAGATATAAACTGATTATAAACCAGAGTTCCTAAAACCTTAGCTGGTTGATCTTTACATTATGGTAACTTGGCGATTTTTTGGCGAAAATTTGGCGACCAACTCTCCTACAGCAACCCTCTATTTTTTTTCCCCGCCGCCATTTTGTCTCACGAAGTAAAGAATGTTTTTTTTTTTATCTCCTGAACACTTCTTCCCACATCTACTAGCCGATTACACTTATGCTAGAAATTTTATCTACAAAACTGCTAATCATGACAAATATCACTGCAATTAGGAAAAACTGCACATACCATCCTCCTTACGCATTTTCAAAATAACACATACACATAAACCATTACACGCCGACTTATTTTTACTAAAAAAAATCCCAGAATTGCACAAAAATGGCATGCGCACACTCTTCACTAATCCATTTACACTGCTTTTTCCTCATAAATACAAAAATTTCACGAAAAACTGCACATTTTCTCAATCTATTACACCCGGTAAAAAGAACATATATTAAATTACCTGATCGCGAAAAAGTATTTACCCTTTACAAATATGAATTCCACAATATAAAATAAATAAATATCCAAAAACTTACCTCTAAATCATCTATTACATTATACACGCACCAATGACTTCATACCGCAAGCCTACAATACTTAATATCAAATATTTAAATTATTTCCATGCACGTTTATTTCAATTTAAACGTATACCAAATTCCTACAAACATAAAATTCACAAATAACTATCATTTCATAAATAAATGGAATTCAAAAACACTACTTAAAATAAATGAGCACCTACATTCAATTAATAAAAATTACCTACAATCCTAATTACTTTAAAACTAAATCATTGCTAATAACAATTTTCCCAATAAACCAAATTCCTTTCCACCTTACATTTACAACAATGCATAAAATAATATCCTTCAATAATTAAAAATACTAACTTACAATCTTCTTCAGAATCCTTGATTACGTGGGATACACTTTCTTCCTTCTGTTTCAGAATCTTTAAATCATATTATCTTTCAAAGCAAGATACCAGGTAAAATAAATAACATAATAACATCTTATTTCTCTATCGCACAACCTTAAAAAAAACATTTATTACTATCCTTTTCAATACCACTAATCCCATTCGAATTCACTTTAGTTACGGCATGGGATCAAAAATTCACAAACCTATTTCACACAAACACAGAATAAAGCCAAATAAAAAATTGCCAATTTTTTCCCGATAAGAACAGTAATTCGTCCTTAATATATGACATATCCCATGATCTCTCATTTCCCTCACACAAATAATGCGTAATCAGAACTGAATACTACTCACTTCTTAACCAAAGTCTAATCTTCTCCGAATCTTCCTTACATGGTGGATACACTTTTATTATGGATTCAATAAAATTATGAATGATTTTTTTTCCGAATTTGATAGAATTTGATAAAAAGAAAATTCTCTTTATCACATCTCAATTCACTTTAGACAGCGCCATAACAATCCCAAAATTATTCAACCCTACTTCACACCACAACACAATGAAGCTTAATACAAAATAATATACATCCAGATACTTGTCCAAATTTCCCCCTTTTCCGATAAGAACCGTAATTCGTCCATTATATCACATGACATATCCCATGATCTCTCATTTCCCCCACACAAAATAATGCGTATCGGAACTGATACTGCTCACATTATTACCAAAGTCCCAGGTAGTAACCTTTATCGCCTCCAAAATGTCGCCCAAACTACCAGTTACCATATTGTAAAGATCAACCCCTTAGCTTCATTACCAAATCTTCCCATAGAAAAAAACAGACAAATTTGAAGCAACAGAAAGTGTTCAATGTTTATATCACATGAAGCCTTAACTGTGCATCAGCTGGTTTTTGTTTACTTTATATCATCTGCTCATATATCTAAACGAATCACCAGCATTAGAGAATTCAGGGATACAAGGTTAAGCGAACTGTAATCAACATGGAGTGCCATCTACTGATTTTTTTAAAAAAAATTCTATAAGAACATAGATGTTTGAAAGTGCATAATGGCACACCCATTTGGAAGATAATGCAAGTGGAAATGCACCAGTGCATCACCTGTCTGCAGAGAGTTTTCTGTTCAGCAACATGCTGTGGTGAAGGGGGTTAAAACTAATATCGGAATATTACACAGATTAAAAATCATGTTTCATGCAAATCATCATCTCGCATGTTTTACAAAATAAAAGTTTTAAGATTTAGGATTCCATTTTAAGTTGCTTTACAGGTCATTGTCATTCACAGCCTCAAATCAAATAATAATTAAATTAAACATTTTGATATTTTCCAGTGTTTTTAAATGCTGAGTATTTTTGTGTGTTAACAGTTTATATAAACTCTGTGAATAATCTAGAAAAGGAAAAAAAAATTACAAACTTTTTTACAACTTCAAGTAGTAACAGTTTTTATAGGTGAAGATATTCGAAGCAAGACTCAAGATATCTTTATCAATTTACATCTCAAATGTAAGTATAGCAAATCTAAAAAAAAAAAGTATGGCCACACTTAAAATTGTAAATATGAACATTGATTAGCTGACTGCATCCACAGCACACATATTCACCTTTTCTAATATAAAATATTCTTTAGCTAATTGTAAGAGATCTTTTAATATTTGCAATATCAAAAATTTATTAATGCCAGATTTCTGTATTTTCTTTGAACACCTTTGTTAGAAAAATATTTGATGTAATTGAGGTTTTAGCTTCCTGTTACCAGCTTTCTTAAAAACTATTTAAAATATTAGCAGCATTTTTATGTTTCAAAATTTAAATCTAGGCTGAATGTATGAAGATTGGTTCCTTCTGATTATCAACAGCCCCCTCCCCTGAAAAGCATTCATGAGGCAATGCAATA